ACATGTTTCTATTTCTCTGGGACCAATGCCCAAGAACACAATCGTTAGATTGTAGTTGCAAGTTTTATAAGAAACTGCCAAACAGCTTTCCAGAGTAGATGTACCATTTCATACTCCCACCACCAATGTATGAATGATCTAGTTTCTCTGAATTTTCATCAGCCTTTGATGTAGTCGCTATTTTGTGTTTTTATTTTAGCCAATCTGATAGGAGCATATATCTTACTGTGGTTTCAATTTGCATTCCCTTGATGTCTAATGATGTTAAAAATCATTTTATATGCTTATTTACCATCTGTATATCCTCTTTGGTGAAATGGCTTTTTGTGTCTTTTGCCCAAATTCTAATTGGATTGTTTTGGTTGTCTTATTTTGTTGAGGTGTGAGTATTCTTTATATATTCTAGATACTAGTCCTTTGCTGGATACAGGGTTTGCAAATATTTCCTCTCAGTCTGCCACTCTTTTTTTTTTTTTCTCCTAGCAGGCTCTTTCACAGAACAAAAGTTTTAAATTTGGATGAAATACAATTTATCAAACTTTCCTTTTATGGACTGTGCTTTTGGTGTCCAGTCTTAAGAATTCTTTGTCTAGGCCTAGATTTTGAAGATTTCCTCCTATATTTTTCTAAAAGTTTTAAATTTTTATATTTAAGTCTGTGACCCATTATTAGTTGATTATCGTCTAAGATGTAAAATTTGGGTTGAGATATTTTTGTTTGTTTGTTTGTGCGGTCTTTTTTTTTTTTTTTTTTTTTTTCTCGTATGGAAGTCCAATTGTCAAGAAAACTAACTTCCTGGACTCGCTTCTGTTGCAATGCTCTACATGTTTGTCCCTCCACCAATACCACACTACACTTTCTTGATTCCTGGAGCCACATAAATAGGATAGGAAGATTCCTCAGCCTGACAGCCACTGGCAGAAGCAATAGTGCCCTTCTTTCAGCCTGGCTCTGAATGGATTAAGGAACAGAATGGCCCACAGGTACCATGTAGTCATGTAATGAGGCCTGGCTGCAGGACTGGGCTTCAAGGCCTCTTCCTCTATGCAAGGCCTTCAAATAGACTTGTATTTGAAGTTCAGGATTTCTTGGGCTGCAGTGGGGAGGATGAGGGCAGAGAGTGAATTGGTTCTAGAAAGTGCTAAGGGGTCAAAAGGCTTGGCCTTTTATTCTGAGAGAGAGCAGGTGTGAGGGGAGGACCTGCCATAAGCCTGGAGTCCTCCTCCTTCACCCCTGCCTCTATTTTCTTTACCTTTCCAGACTGTGTTCTGCCCCTCTTCTCAGCCCCCCCCCCCCCCCCCCCCCCGTCTTTCGTCTTTCGACAGGCCCTCTTTCTAATCTTGATTTGCATCCATAAAATATGTTTACTGTGATCTAAAGAGAAGGTGCAGAATTCTACACAGAATAAAGGCATGTCACCCCCCAGCCCAGAGGGGTGCAGGTGGCCCACTGGAGGCCTGGCTGCATCCAGCACTGTTCTTCTCTTCCGGGAGCCTCTGTGCATCCTCCATGAAGAGAGCGAGTGACCAGCCCCTGCACCCTGCCCAGGACACTTACTTGTCTCTTCCTGCCATGCTTTGAATAATGGCACAAGGACGTGCACACACATGACCATGAGTTTCAAGGTCTAGACTGCAGATCCAGGATATGTTTATGTTTTTTGAAGGGTGGGGTAACAGAGGGAGGAAGAAAGAGATGAAGAATGCAAACTTTTAAGATTTTTTTTAAAGAAAGAACTACTAAATTAGATTACACTTCTGTCCTAGGACACTCCTTTCAAATGCCAGTACTTATTTCTTGTTTTAATTTTCAAGACAAAATATTTCACACACTAGAAATATGTAGAATGACATAATCCCAAGTAATCATCATTCAAGTTTAATAATCATTACCATTTTTGTCATTTATTTCAGGTATATTTCTCAGAAATTAAATATTAGTAATGAAACTGACAACCCCCTTCCCCACAACCCTCCTCAAGAGCCCTCAGTGTGCCCAAAGGGGGAGCTGGTCCTACTTCCGAGGACAGCCCCCTCCCCCGCACCTGTAAATAGCACAGTATTGTTTGTACACCTCCATCATCAACACCATCGGCTCTGCATCCTTCTTTTTCATTATTATTTTTCCCACCCAAATTTACACTCTCAGGACTTATTCGTGTTGATACAAGTGGAGCTACTTCCCTCCCTCTCCGCCCCAGGGAGCATTCTGCTGCATGCAATGTGCCCCATTCTTTGCTCAGGCCTCTCCTGATTGCCATTCAGGAGATGTCCAGTCTTGCACTTTGCACACACTGCTGCAGGCGCTGTGCCTGGCATTTCCTCCGCGGTGGACAATGAGCCCAGGAGTTGCAGGGTGACGGGATGTGGGCATCTCCTGGTCTTTCGTTTGTTGCCACACGTCTCCCCAACTTCTTTATGGCCATTTAAACTAGCGCAGCCGTGGAGAGAGCTGCCTGGCTCTGCACACCCGGACCGGGACCAGGTTGATGTCATCGAGCGGTGTAGAGTGGCATCTTGCATACTGTCTGGAAATTTCCCCACCGCTAGTGAGTGTGCGCAGCTTAGGGAGAGGGTCTGTGCCTGTCGCTGACCCACTTTCCTTCTGGGGTCTTGTCTTCACGGACTGTCAGAATTCTCCGGGCTTCTGCCTGGCAGTCTTTGGCATTTATAAGTGCTGCATATGTCTTCTCTCAGAGTCGGTTTCTGTAACTTAGTTTCTGTTCAACTTGAGTTTTTACTTTAAATACGATCAAATTTGTCAAAGTTTTCTTTCTGCCTCCCCTCCAACTTTTTACAAAAAGGAGAAAAAAACCCACACCCTTTCCTTACCTACACAATCCTTGGTGCAACAGAGCGTGCCAGAGAGTTCGGGAAGGGGAAGGGGGCAAGGGCGCGCGACCACATGCTGCAGAACTGGTGGTCTGGGCGACTCAAACAGAATCAGTGTTTGCAGAAGGATGTGAAACGTGGCCTCAGACAAACGCTCCAGAGAGCCTCGCTTGTTTGATAAACGCAATTGTCAAAAGACTGGAGGAAATCTTTCTTCTCCGCTGTTTTCTTGCGACCGAGGAGTCCTACCTGCTCCCGCCGCCGGGGCAAAGCGGCCTCCCGCGGCTCTGGGGCCTCCTGGTCGCGCACACCCGAAAGTCGCCTGGGCCACCTCGGAGGAGCAGCTGCCAGAGGGCCGGGGGACGGAGGTGAGCTAAGTTCTTCCAAAGACTGTCTTGCAGAAACACTCTAAAAAAAAAACCCAAAAAAACCAAAAAAAAAAAAAAAAAACCCAAAAAAACCTCACAACTTTTCATCTGTTTCCACTCGCCCGGAATAGCTGCAGCGGCGCCGCGCGGACCTCTCCTGGAAGCGGCGCGCCGTGTCTGTCGCTCTGTCGGAGGGTCCGGGCCTGCCCAAGCGCTGGGTGTGCAAGTGCAAAGGCTGAGCGCTTCCAACTTTTCTCCTTCCAACCAGCCGCAGACCAAGAGCATGGCGCTCGGGTCTTCGCTACTGTGGAAACGTGTCTCCCGTGACTCCGATCCCTTAAGAGAACACCGGCCTGTCCAGACCCGGCCGGCCGGCCCCCCTTTCTCCCTCTCCCGGTGCTCCAGGGCCCCCTCCCAGTCGGGGGCTGCCGACGCCGGCGGGGCCCACGTGGACCGGGAGCTCGGGATCAGGGCATGCGGGTCCAGCGCGGCCGGGAAACTCGGTCAAGGAGCGAGGATCGGAGCGACGGGAGGAGGAGAAGGACGGAGAAGTGAGAGGACAGAGAGGCGGTGCTGGAGATGCGGAGAAAAGGCGAGATGCGGATTCTCTGGGCGCAGCGGGGAGAGAACCTTCTGGATGCAAGTCGGAGGCAGATCGTCGGAGGAGAGGCTGGGAGGGGAGCTGCCCACTAAAGAAACCGGTAGGGACGAGTCAGCGAGGAAGAGACCTCGCAGTGATTAGAAGCTATAGAGTCAGTTAGGTGGGGAGGAGCCCTGGAAGTGAGGACGCTGGTCTTAGAACCTAAAGGACCGCGCCCGGAGTCCAGGGACCCGGCGCCCTGACTCTGGGTCCCCTCCAAAGGCCCCCCCCCCCCCCCCGGCACTCCCTGAAGGACTCAAGCCTTCGGGCCCCTTTTAAAACCTCTGAGCTGGGTTCCCCTTTGGGGTTCCAGGACAGGAACGGCGGGGCCCCACAGCCTGTTGGGGGACGGGGGCTGTCTCCTCTGAGCAAGTTTTCCAGGCGCATGCTGCAGCATCTGAAGACTCTGGGAATATCAGTGTTCGAACTCCTAAAAAACATGCTCAAGGAATGGCAAGAGAGAGGAACCCCATGCTTGAAAGAAACTTTTCATTTGGACTTAACTTTTGTAACCACGTACAATTTATAACCACGTACTTCTGTTTGAGAGAGAGAGAGAGAGAGAGAGAGGAAAAGGAAATTGCAGAACCACACTTTTCACTCTCCTTGCCATTTTTCTTGCTGTCACGCCCTCTACAAACAGCTAGGAGGATCTTGGGACCAAAGGGGCCTTCATTGGGAATGCAGTCAATTTGATACACTGAAATTACTCATATTTTAAATATTACCTCACGAAAGGTAACCCATGTGAAATCTATGTATTCATCTTTTTTAAAAAAAAATGTTTTTTTTTAGTGGTGGGGGTGTCAACCGGGGAAAAGGGAGACATATGTAATACTTTAAACAAAAAAAGATGCTTTTATTGATTTTTTTAAAAAGAGAGAGAGAGGAAGAAAGATAGAAACATTGATGGGCTGCCTCCTGCAAGCCAGGTACTGGGGAAGGAGCCTGCAACCCAGGCATGTGCCCTGACCTGGAATCCTACCGGTGACTTCTTGGTGCATGGGTCGGTCGACGCTCAACCACTAAGCCATATCGGCTGGGCTATGTATTAATCTTAATTGCCAAAAAAAAAAAAAAATTACACGCACGCCCTCAAATATTCACCAAACTTACACAAAGTCCAGCGAAGGTTAGGGCAATAAGACAAAGAGAAAAAGGTCGTATGCTGAGTAAGCTTTATTGCAATGCCTGATATAATTGTTCTTCCCCGAATTAAACCTAAGTGGAAAGGGGTAGGTCGCGCGCCAGGGCAGGGGCGCCCGCCGCCCGTCGGTGGCCTGGAACGTTGCTGGGGCCACCGCAGCAGGGACGAGGCCTCAGCCGCGGGCCACAGCGCCCCCTCGCCGCCCGCGCGCAAGACTTCGGGCCCGCGCCGCTCCGGCCTCCCCGCGGCCAGGCAGCCGGCAAGGTCCGCGTCTGCAGAGCGCCTGGGCCCGCGACTGCCGCTTTCCCGGTTGGCCCTGAAGTCCTGGCCGCGTTTCTGGCGTTTCTTCGCGCTTGGCCTCGTGGGGAACTCGGCTTCTTGAGAGGCGCACGTCCACGCCGCCTTGTCCTAAATGCAGCGGCCACTGTGGGGACAAGAAATAAAAACTTGACCAAGTTAAACTCTTTTTTGAAAATGCATACTCGGGGGAGGGCCCATCCTAAATCTGGAAGTGCACATGGCCCACGCAACTGCCAATGCCGGAGCCGTCAAGGGGCTTCCTAGGTTTGCCTCGCCTGCCTGCCCGATTTCTCCCATTCCAGCTCGGAGGGCAACTGGAAAGAAGCAGTAGCCAAGTACCAGACCGTCCCACGCTCTCCGCACGCCCGACGCCACAAGAGATGCGTCCAGGCCCCTGCTCCCTGGGAGCAACACTCCCCGCAGTGGCTGGACACGCAGTTCCAGCGAGTCCAGGCCACCCTCGCAGGTGGCCGTGCCAGGAGCCATTGAGTCTGGCCTCGACACTTGCCGCATGTCTTTTCGATTGATTTTTCAAAGAGAAAGCCAAGCCAACTTTAATCTAAGAAAAGGAAAAGTGATTTTACAAAATCAGGGAGCTTTAAATCGAAACCGAGTTATATATTCCAGTAACAATGCAGACCGTGAGTTTTAATGTCTCTGCGTAGGCATTTTAATTTGCTACAGTCACTACCAATAAAAACGGCATGTAGTGCGATTCGACTGTTTAATAGTGCAAGGTAGACGGTTTTTATTAGTAGCAGGCAGCAGTATGGAAAATTTAGATTTCGGTGGAGGAGTGTAATTGCTGGGGGAAAAATACACTCAGGAAGAGGCTGTCTTTGGAATCAGCAGCACTGAGCAGAGAGGGAGCAGGCAGTGTTCTGGAGACTCACCCTGGGTGACTGAGAAACCCTCCAAAGCCACGTGCACTTGTCTGGTTAGATATTTAATTGATGTCAAAATCGACTGTATTCCCAGCTTAAGCTCCTGCTCCAAACTGGGGATGTTTTTGTAATAATTCGCTGTTTTCTTTTCTGCCCAGAGGCAGAGATGGATTGGGGGAGAAGGGGGTGGGTAGGAGGCCCAGCCCCAAATGCTAATGAAACCACAGCAGGAATTGGTCTTTAGAAATGGAAATTCTCAAGGCCAGTCTTTAAGATAAAAAGTTAGACCTGATTTTCTTCACTTAAACTATTTAATTGGAAGCAAATTGAATGGCTGCAATCTGATCTGTTGCTGCCAGTGCTTGTCATCCAAGTGTGTGTGACTCTTTTAAGGCTTCTCCCTGGCTGAATTCCCAAGACCAACAATGTCCTAGATCCAGTCGGTGGCATGCTCCACAAGGTGGCAGGGGCCTCTCTTGGGCTCTCTTTCCCTTTCCCTTTTCACTCTGCAATAATTGATATAAAATATTGGCCCTGCACTGGACTCGGAGGTTCTACTTGGGGCGGAAAAATTGTTGGACCGCCCCTGCTGGGTTCTTGCAGTGGCCCAAAGTGTGTGGGAAGTGGTGTGTGTGTGTGGGGGGGGGGGAGAATGGGGGGTGGGGGGAGTGCTATGCTAGAAGGCAAAGTGAAGATCGATGGGTAGAGGGGGCAGGGCTGTAGTTTGTAAGAGTACTGGCGTGGGGAGCAATGGGGGGCCGGGATGGGAGGACCGAAGGACGAATGGGTTGGGGGTTAGCAGGAGAAGGGGCTAGTAGTGTAACTGCCTGGACCGCACCTACAAGCCTGCAGGCCAAGGAGTACAATCTGCAACTGGTTCCCTTGGACCCGATGACGATCAAACTCAGCCTGTGCCTGGAAGGTTCCGGTGGCGACTGGAGCCTATCGATCGTGCGCTGCAGCCTCGCTCTGCGCCCGTGCGACTCGGAGTCGTATGGATACTCGGATACGATAAAAGAGGCCCTTGTGCGAGCTGCAGAGCCAACAGGGCTGGGGTGGGGGCGGAAGCGGTGTGGGAGGAGGGGAGCTGTAGGCCGGACCTCCCGCCTAAGGTGTTCTCTCCCTATAGGTCACCCACCCGAGACGGCCCCGAGGAAGAAGCACCTGTTGGGTGGGCGCCGACATTCAGGCCTGCACACACGAGGTTCCCTGTGGAGCCCCTGGGAGTGCCCTAGGGTGATTCCTGGCCTCCACTTCTGCGGGACCCTGGTGGCGAAAGGGTAGAAGAGGGATGGGGAGTGGCGTTTTTCCGGAGGCTGCGTCCCTAGCTAAGCCTCTCTCGTGCTCCGAGAGGCTCCTCTGGAGCCGCGTGTTACCTGAGCTACCTGCGCTGCCAACTGCTCCGGAGCCACCAGCTTTCTCCTTCCTGCCCAAGTGACAGCGAGGCTTCATGTCCTCTCAGAGAAGGTCGTCTGTCCAATGACAGTCATTCCCCTGAGTGTTTTACACCAGGCCGAAAGAGAACTCAAGTTATTAAGACAAAATAAAACCCTTTAGATGGTGAAGCACTGGCAGCGTGTGATAAAACGTTCCCATCCGAAAGTGCTAACACCCAGGGACCTAATCTTCACCACGGACTTCGGGGCAGAAAGCTCACCTCTAGGCGCTCCTGGCAGGCAGTTCGCAACGAAGGAGCCCCGGATCCGGGTCCTGCGGGGACACGCTGGTCGGCGCGGGGTAGGTGACCAGACTCGAGGCCACGCGGGGCGCCTCCCACAGTGAGGCAGAGTAGACTCAGCAAGGTGGAAGTGAGAGCCGCGCACGCCACCCCCAGGAAGACCCGGGCCGCCGGTGCCACCGTTTAGCGCCCCCCATCACCCCGTAGGCTGTCGGCTGGGACACTGGGGCCCTGAGGGAAGTCACCTGGGTGGGCCTATTCCCGGTGAAGAGGGGGGCTCAGGCCCTTCGTCCCCGGAGCGGACCAGCCTGGCCAGAATGCAGGCGGCCTCTAGCCTAATCATTTCGAGCTGATCTGGGGGGCGGGTCAGTGGCTGGATTGGGACAGGATGGCAGGGGTGGGGTAAGAAGGGGTGGCTAGGGCGGGAGTGGGGCTGGGAGTACGTGCGAGTAGGAGTGGGTGCGCGCCGGGGCGCGCTGCTCGGCCCCGCCAGGTTGCGGGGCCGCGGACCGCGGGCTGGGGCTGCGCGAGAGGCGACTACGCCACAAAAGCCTTCGCGTCTCTCCCTCCTCCTTTCTCCCCCGCTCCCGCCTCCCTCTCCTCCCCGATCCCCTCTCCTCCCTCCAGGCTCCCAGCTCCTCCCCCAGCTGCGGCTAGGCAGCTGGAAGAGGCCTAGCAGGCGGAGCTGGGGAGGGGGCGGGCGCCCGAATATGCAGATGAGCGCGTGACGGACAGCTCAGCGTTCCAATGTCCCTCGGAAACTCGAGCGCTCCTTCCTCAACTCCTCACTCCCGACTTCAGATTCCCCCAAACCCCGACCGCCGGCCTGGCGCGCGGCTGCGCCCACCGGCTCCGCGCTACCGCCGCCTCCGCCGCCGTCCCGCAGCTCCCCCGGCCTGTGGGCCCCGGCTAGTGCCCGGGCCGGCCTACCTCGGCCCGCGGCCCCCGCGCCCGCCGCCGCGCCGCGCCCGGGCCGGGCGTGGATGGAGGGCTCCGTGAGCCCTGCCCGCTGCTCGGCGTGACGCGGGCCCCGCGCCCACCATGTCCTACCCGCAGGGCTACCTGTATCAGGCGCCCGGCTCGCTGGCGCTTTACTCGTGCCCAGCGTACGGCGCGTCGGCACTGGCGGCGCCGCGCAGCGAGGAGCTGGCGCGCTCGGCGTCGGGCTCCGCGTTCAGCCCTTACCCGGGCTCGGCGGCCTTCACGGCGCAGGCGGCCACTGGCTTCGGCAGCCCGCTGCAGTACTCGGCCGACGCCGCCGCCGCCGCCGGCTTCCCGTCCTACATGGTAACCGCTCGGGCGGGCGGGGACGCGGGACACCCGGGCTTGGGGACCCTGATCGGAGCGCAGTCGAGCGGGCCCGGGGATCCGCGAACGGGGGCGCGGGGAACGTGCCGTGGGCGGTGGCTCCGGCGTCGCCGACTCGGGCTGCCACGCCGCTGGCAGGACAAAAGTCCAGGGTGAGAGGCATCGCGGCCGGCAGGCAACGTTTCTGAGTCCGGCTGGGACCCGCGTCCCGCGCCGCCTTCCTAAGGCTACTTTCCGAAGAGTCTGGAAAGTGCGACTACGCTGGTATCGGGATCTGTTGTGATTTGTCCTTAGTTCAGGCACTGAAGCTTGGCGAGGGGTCCGCAGCGGGCTCGGGGCTCGCTTCTTTTGGCGCGGGGAACGAGGGTCAGTGCCACTAGGACCTCCGGGGCGGCTGCGGGCGCTTAGTTACTTGCGGGGCTTGGGGGGAGGGGGGGGGTCACTGGGATGGGGGAGGGGCGAAGCATCTGCCAGGGTCTCCGGGGCCAGGCCCTGCCCGACGTGGTCTGGTTCTTAAACTGTCTCAAAGGCTGTGCTTTCGAAAAACGTGTCCGCGGGCCTGTGGCCCGCCAAGTACCTTCTCGGTTCCCTGGGCACCGAAAGCAGCTCCTGCTCCCGTACCCGGGGTTGGTCCGCGCGCCTCGGATCTGCTCCTGACAAGGCCCGGAGGCGGAGTGCGTTTCCGGCGATGGTAGCATTTAGGTCGACACTGCCCGCCCTCAGTGGAATTCCAGGGCAGCGCCGGAGTAGCAGGGGCCTTGGTGAAGGTTGCAAAAAGCCTCAAATTTAAACGTTAAAGGCTGAATTAAAATGCTAATTGCCGCGTATTTGAAGAATTCGAAACGGTGACTGGCTTCTGAGTTGCAAATTGGATTTGCGGAGCTTTAGACTGGTGAATGGCGGAGCAGGGGCTGGGGCGATTTTTTAACCATATAAGGGCGGGGTAAGGGGGAGGCTTCAGTGCTTGAGAATCCAGAAAAATTTAGATATCAAGAAACTACCTTCGGCCCTGCGTGTTTGCGTGCGTCTATACTCGCGGCCCAGGAAATTTGCAGAGGAAGATATACCATTTTAGGAAAGTGAAATAGTTCAAAATTCGGGAATAAAACTGCAGCGCTTTTTGTGATCAACAGCTGGCCTTAATAACGCGCTGCGTGTTTTTTGTTTTGTTTTGTTTCGTTTTGTTTTGTTTTCTGCTCTGCTGCTGCGGGAAGCGCGGCCCCACCGCGGGAGACTCACCGTGGGAAAGGCGGCCACGGGAGGGCCGAGGGGTTGCCTTTGGAGGTTGCCTGCCAGGTCCCCGCGTACCCCACTCACTCGGCTCTTGTCGGTTCCAGGGCGCGCCCTACGACGCGCACACGACTGGGATGACGGGCGCCATCAGCTATCATCCGTATGGCAGCGCGGCCTACCCGTACCAGCTCAATGACCCAGCGTACCGCAAGAACGCCACGCGGGATGCCACGGCCACGCTCAAGGCCTGGCTCAACGAGCATCGCAAGAACCCCTACCCCACCAAGGGCGAGAAGATCATGCTGGCCATCATCACCAAGATGACCCTCACGCAGGTCTCCACCTGGTTCGCCAACGCGCGCCGGCGCCTCAAGAAGGAGAACAAGATGACGTGGGCCCCGAGGAACAAAAGCGAGGATGAAGACGAGGAGGAGGGTGACGCAGCCAGGAGCAAGGAGAGTCTGGATAAGTCGCAGGAGGGCACCGAGACATCGGCGGAGGACGAAGGTGAGCAAGACCTGGTGGGCTGGAAGTCCAGGGGAGTTTTCTTCCCAGGCGGGGCGCAGAGCTGAGGGAGGGGAGGATGCTGCTGGCCTTACAGCTGCCTGGCAAGGAGTGGGCCTGGCAGCTAGTGGGCCTAAAGATTCCTCGGGGTGCTTTTCAGGGAGGCCATGCTCCCCATAGGCCTTGGTAGGTTCTGGGTGGAGGTGAGGAATCTTATGGGGAGGGCCTGGTACACTGGGACGTGGGGGCAGAGGGGTCCCGGGTGCCCCGGCTGCCCCACGTGCCACAACGGTGCCCGCGTCCCCACAGGGATCAGCCTGCACGTCGACTCGCTCACGGATCACTCCTGCTCTGCGGAGTCGGACGGGGAGAAGCTGCCTTGCCGTGCCGGGGACCCCTTGTGCGAATCGGGCTCAGAGTGCAAGGATAAGTATGACGACCTGGAGGACGACGAAGAGGACGAGGAGGAGGGCGAGCGGGACCTGGCGCCATCCAAAGCCGTGACCTCGTCGCCGCTCACCGGCGTGGAGGCGCCCTTGCTGAGCCCTCCGCCCGAGGCCGCGCCCCGCGGTGGCGGTGGTGGCAAGACCCCCCTGGGCAGCCGGACGTCGCCGGGCGCGCCGCAGCCCGCCAGCAAGCCCAAGCTGTGGTCTCTGGCCGAGATCGCCACGTCGGACCTCAAGCAGCCAAGCGTGGGCCCGGGCTGCGCGCCGCCAGGGCTGCCCGCGGCCGCAGCGCCGGCCTCGTCGGGGGCGCCACCCGGAGGCTCTCCCTACCCCGCGTCCCCGCTGCTCGGCCGCCACCTCTACTACACATCGCCCTTCTATGGCAACTACACAAATTACGGGAACTTGAACGCGGCGCTGCAGGGCCAGGGGCTCCTGCGGTACAACGCGGCGGCCGCGGGCCCAGGAGAGGCGCTGCACGTGGCGCCCAAGGCGGCCAGCGACGCGGGCAAGGCAGGCACGCATCCGCTGGAGTCCCATTACCGGCCCCCGGGCGGCAGCTATGAGCCCAAGAAAGGTAGGCTGCTGGGGCCACGGGTCCTCTGGGAGGGACAGCCAGCAGGGCCCGGATAGTCAGCACTCCCAAGGGAGCGGGGAAGGGGCTGGGAGACCTGTGGATGTGCAGGGGGAACCTTTGTCACTTAGGAGAGAAAGGAAAAACACAGAATGCACCACACTTTGACTAAAAGTTAGGAGAAGTGAAGGGGGGGCGGGGGTAATGACTCCAAAAAGAGGTGGGAAGGGCCAAGTGATCCATAATGAGACCCATCTCATTATTATTTACTACCTACTTATTTATTATGATGGCCAGGGCAGCTAGTTTTAGTTGGTCAAACACAGACTGTCACGAAATTCGAATTGTAGTTTGTCTCCCCACCACTGAGCTTCGGCTTTGGTGTGTTCTGTTGTTAATAGTCTCTCCTTCTGCCTTTGGCTGGAAGGAAACAAAACGTTCCAGTTATTCCCAGAGGCCTTAGTTCTTCAAAATAGAAAACCGGAGCCTTATTCCTTCCTCTCCCTTTCTCTATATTGCCTCTGTTGCTCATAATTCAGACTTGAGCTGATAAGACCTGTAAAAGGAGCTCAAGGGGGTAAAAAAAATGAGAGCTCAGAAATGTGACCAAAATCTGCCTCTGACACAGTGGTGGTGGACACTCAGGCTCCTCTTACTGTTGGCCCCATACAGGGAGCAGGCTTCCTGGGTGTGCTGCTGTCTGGGAGATAGATGGCTACGGGGTTGGTTCTGACTAACTGCCCCCTCCCCTGACAGATGCCAGTGAGGGCTGCACCGTGGTTGGTGGGGGCATCCAGTCCTACCTATAGAAGGGCCATGTGTACAGCAATACAAGTAAGTGGGCCTCCTGGTGTTTCTGCCCACCCTGGGGGAGCCTCCCTGCACCAATTGCTCTGAAAACTTGCTTAATGTCTATTTCTTGCTTCTTGTCATGGGGTCTGAAGACAGCATTGAAATCTTCTTGGTCTTTTTTCCTTTAAGTGGGAGAGGAGTTGTTCTCTTTCATAGTGTCCCTCTTTTTTTGCTGAAGTTCTGCTTTGAAGAATCAATCAATCTCTCTCTCTCTCTCTCTCTCTCTCTCTCTCTCTCTCTCTCTCTCTGTATACACACACATATATATATATTCTCAATCTGGGAATTTGTGTGCAATATGGAGTACGTTTGCTCCACTAGACACGGAATAGACACTTGCTTTGATGAGCTAGTGTTACTGAAACTTGGTATCAGAAACCTTTCTAGATGATGTTTGCATAGTAAGACTGAGAGACAAGAAGCACTCCTCTGTTATCAGGCCCATCCCCCCCCCCCCCCCCCCCCCCCAGTCCAGATGGACTCAATAGGACCCTGCAGATCCTCTGGCTCACAGCAGTTTTAAAAAAAAATACCTATTTTACAAATAGGCAAAATTACTTATTTCACTTCTTAAAGGTGGGAAAGAGGCCGAGCCCTTTCAGATGACTCCTTTTTATAATGTGATGATGTTGGTGTGGAACTGAAAGATTTGGGATGATTTGGTTTTTTCCTTGGTCCACAGGTAGGTGTCACAATTGCTTTGGAAAAAAAAAAGTCAGCAGGCCATTCTTTCTTCCCAAGTTCATAAATACACAGACGTAAAAAGCCGCGCTCACCCGGACCGCATCTTGTGCCACTGTAAAGGAAGGAGCCGCAGAGCATTGTCAACTCAGACTAACCGAACCGAACAGACATTTGTTGGATAGACGTGAATTTGTTGGCATAGTATAGCTTCCCCAATGTATGTGTGACTTTTGAAAACAATCTTTTTTCTCAGGATATCTTGAATTGATCACTTCATTGCCACGGTATATATGCTATAGGTGTGATAGGATTTACTGTAAAATTTATTTGTAAAAGATGTACACAGTAGAAATAAAACGTGATTGAAGAACTTGAGTACTTAAAAAGTGGAAACAAATTTGATATTTATTTTTATAATGATATAAAGCTTCTAGTAATTTATGCAAGTTGTATTGCAATGGAATCTAAACTTTTTGTAAATAAATTCTGCCTGGTTTTTATTTGAACATTGCTGGTTATACAATCTTTGTTGGTTGTTTAACAATAATTCTTTACTAATTTATATCTTAAATTGTAAATAAAAACAGACTAGACTACAGCAACATGGTGTGTGGGGCTCCTTTTTCTTAAAAGAATGCTTTGGGTAGAGAGCCTCAGGGATAGCAGTGACAGCAGTCCCCACCCCAGGTGATCTGACCTCAGGCTTTTTAAAGATAATGTGTAAAATAACCTCCCCTTTCTGCTCATAAAAAAAGGCAGATGGAAGAGAAATAAGCAGTAGGGAGATATCTGTGATTTTTAAGTTATTTATATACACATGTATTGCAAGGAAATTAAAATTTTGTGCTCTGAATATGCAAAATACTTGTTAGTGTAAATATTTTTTAAGCTTGGCAAAATAAAATGACCTGACATCCCTGTGCTTGAGGATCCATTTAATATTTATTACCTCCTCAGTAAAGTAAACTGGAAAATTGTGGTAACATGGATAATAAAGAGTTATACCCCCACCATAAATTACTGATGGAAATGATTATTTATTTTAAATAACTTTAAAGCCTAAATTATCCAAATTGGCATAGATTATTCAGATTTATTGAATGACTTCTTAACTCTCCTTTTCGTATAACTCACATTAAACACAAGGCGAAAACTGGGAGGAGAGATTTATTTTCCTCTCAGTGGCTCTTACCCTTACCCTGGGGGAAAAGAAAAGCTTAAACACCCTTAGACTATTGCCTCATTATTGTGTTACTCACTATCTAATTATAGGACAAGTCTAGAATTTGTAGGCAAGTAACATATTTCCTTTGATTAGTATCATAAAAGCAGGAAACCTGTCACTTTAATTTTCAGCAAAATTATATGGATATCCATATAATATAATTTCAGAAAAGAAATGAACAATCATTTATTTCCTCTGCAAAGATAAATTGAGTGAATATAACTTACGGTTATAAAACAAGAATAATAGCTCCTCAGATTGCCCTTTAATCAATCATACACTTATTTTTCAAGAGGTTCATCTATTTTATTCCGTGATTAATAATGCTGCAGCATGAGCACATTATTGCATCCCAGCGGGGGACGTCCCGGGTGCTTTTAGCTGCTTTGGAATGGTCAGTTGGGGTTCATTATGGGCTGATATTGAACAATTTATAAAATCTTGTCTAAACATCTGCCAGCTCAGATAGGCCCATGTGTCTGAGGATGGGAAATTGCTGGACCGCTTGATATTGACAAACGGATCTCTCTCCAGTGGCTTTTTGTGCTGTAGAAATTAGTGGCCTCTTGCTGGGGTTCTTGTTAGAAAGGGTATTTGAAAGTAATCTTGGGTACTTGAGGCAAAGCTAGGAGGCTGTGAACTGGACACTGACTGGGCCATGGGAGGAGCGGTTGTGGTTTGTGGAGGAAAGGAGCAGATTCAGTTTTCGGTTTTCTGTGACTTCTTAGGCATTTTGTTGGCTTTGGATATATGACCATTTGGAGGTTAGACTTAAAGTGAATATTTGGGGTCCAGAACTCTTTTTCACTCCTTCCTGCCTCCCCTAGTAATAGATGAGGAGAGGTTGGAGCTGAGCTCTCTCTCAGGGACAGGAGGGTTGTTCACATGGGTGCCTGGCCACTGGGGCAGTGTGTCTGGAGGAAAACAAATGCCCATCTGTGGAAGTTACAGGGAGCTGCTGGGAGCGACTTTGCTTGTTTTTGTTTGAGACATAAAACCTCATAGAATTTCTGTGAAGATAATGATTCCCCCCCCCCCGCGCACCCCCGCCCAGCAGATAGCATTTTTAGATTACAGTATGAAGCTGATAAGTCGTTGGCTTTTATTAATATTAGCCATCTTTCCTAAATCGGCAGGGAATACAACACACATGGCGGCAATATCTCTGTTTTATGTAATATTCTAAGTAGAGTATTTTGAAGACTTCAGTGAAAAGGATGAAAGTTAACAATATTTAACAAATTAAACGCTGGAAGACCACACAGCCTCATTAAGATGCAACGCTGGAGACACTCCATCTCCTAAAGTGTGGCGAGTGCGAGTAGAAAACCCCAGCAAAAATTGATCTCCGCGCATATGTTCAGAAATTGAAGCCTGGATAAAAGCTGCCTCCCTTTGGAGCAGAAGATTGTGTTACCTGGACATGTGATACATCCCCCCACACAGGCACACACCCCAGACAGACCCCATTCTCAGGGACAACTGCACCTTTCAATTGGTGAAAACTCAAAGCAGCTCAGGAGATTAGCCCAGGCTAACGAATCTTCTTTGATGTTTATATGCCCAACAAATTATCAGAGATTTCCATAACTTACCCACCCTGCCTCCTGACCTGGATTTCTTCCTGGAGAACTTGATTTTTAAATGTACACTAAGAACATAAAACCTGCAGGTGTTTAGAGGGATCTTTTTAAAGAAATGTCGAGTGATTTATGAGCTCTTCGCCATGCAGATCTTTAGTTAAGATGAAGGGAGGTGGGGGTGAGGAGGTATCTTTCATTGGGGAAGGATTAATGGGGTCTAATTTTATTTTTGCTTTAAAATCTAGTTAATTAAAAATATAGTCGCCAGCCATGTGCAGTTGTTCCCGAAGGCGGGCACAAGGGGAACCGGAGCCACGCAAGCGGCTGGGTGCTGGCCTGATCACACTCCGGGCTCCGTGGCCCCTCTGCCCTCTGCAGTCCGGGGTTCATTAGGGCTGATTTATCGGAATTCGCGCTTTAATCTCAGGTGGGCCAGGAGGCCCTGCGCTGCCCAGAGCACCGGGAGCGCATGCCCGGCGGCCGCTGCCTCCCGCGCCCATCAAATGTCAACATTTGTTCCCAATAAAAGAGTTATTGTTTCTGCAAAGCTGCCCAGCCACTGCCTTTGAAACTTGAAAAGAACTTCATCCACCTTTGTCTGATGCGAGGCAGGAGGGGAGGGGCGGAGCGAAGGGCGAAGACTGGGGCCTGTCTGCGCTGCCTGGAGTCCAGGGGGCGCCTGCCTTCACCCCCTCGCGGGCCGCTGGAGCTCTTGCGGGCTATGCTCTGCACGCGTTGATCGGGTACTGGGGTCTCTGCGCGGTGCAAATCACTGCAAAACAAACAAACAAAAAAATTCCCACAAAACACAGGAATGCAGCAGCCGCGCGCAAAACCCGACTGAGTTTTAGGGTCATTTAAAATTGCACTAAATTATTTATTAAAAAGGCTAAAAGAGTAAAGGGGACCTTTCATTTTTTAATGTTTCGTTATAAATGTGCCCTAAACTTCCACTGCTAGAGTTGAGGTAAACAGACATAAGTTTAAAAACATTCCAAGCCAATTTCTCTTTTCAGAGTCAACCCTTTTCAAATTTAAATACACTGAATTTTTAGCAAGTTCTCCTGAGTAGCAAAGCAATATACAATGATTATCCACCCTGTAGGTTTTCTTTAGTTATCCAGTGCATTGAAACCTCAAGGAAAACGTCCTTTTTTTTTTTTTTTTTTTTTTTACTACAAATTAAGGATTTAAATAGATCTTTAAATATGTGTTTTTAACTGTTTTACAAAATATAACATTTCAAGCATTTTTAAAATGTGTTAACCCAAGAGGCAATCTTGGGGACAATACACGTTTGTGATACGTGGCTATTATGATTAACACCATTTGAATTTCTACATATTGCAAAGGAGACATGTCCCTTTGATGTGTTTTTCAAACCTTTATGTGACAAATCCCTGCAGATATTTTAAAGGCTTATTATAAGGAGAAGTAATCTATGACAATATAATTTTCCAGTTGCTGAAAATTACTTTCTATTGGCCATAATGAAAGCACAGGCCAGCCCTCCCCTTTGGTTTGGCTGGAACTCTAGGGAAATGGTATCTGATGATATGCACTTGGACTTCAGCCTTTGGTGGGAGAGGGAGAAGAAACCTATAACCCCAGTTTTACCCGCAAACACCCCCTATTTGCATGCTTCACCTGCTACTCCTTTAAAGAGAGAGAGCCCACCCCCCCCCCCAACACACACACACACACACACACACACACACACACACACACAGAATAGGCCTGTGTTCCCTCCCTCTCCTGAGGACAGAGCGGTCTCCCTCTTTCTAAGAAAGGTAGAGATTGAAGATGTTACAAAGGAAGACTATACTGGTAATGTAGTGAAAATGAAATGAGTTATGCAATCACTCTCCTCTGTTCTGTGCAATCCCAGGAACAAGGAAAGAGGAAGAATGTTTTTGTTTAAGTTTGGCCCCAAGGTAAAAGGGAAAAGTTGTTTGTTTTTAAGGTGTCCCAGAGTAACTTTGTTCCATAAGAAACTGAAGACAAATGAAATGTAATATTCTTAAAGAAGCGACTGTGAGGTTTGGGGTTGCCTCCCAATGTGAGCGGAGTTGATCTCCACAGGAAATGCCCACAGGGAAGACACAAAACAATGCTACACAAGCACGTGCATCCTTGTGGGGAGATAAATTGACAATTTATCCTGTGTAACTCCTGATCAATTATTAATCTTCAGTGTCAACAACAGGGCTATAATTACCTTTGGTTATTTTCATATTTATTTTTTCTTTTCTCTGATCCGGTAATTAGTTAATGCTTTTGAGTAATGAACCTGGAGACCAGGCCCTCTGGGCCCCTCCTTTTTGATGACCTTTAGGGAAAACACTCACATTCACCCTCCTGTTCGCAGACATCCCTTGCCTGTCTCCATTCTACCACACCGCACCTTCCCCCTCCCCTCCCTGCCATAAATAATGATTCTAGAGGAAAAGGGGAAAATGACAAACAAATAGGGCGCAGCTGGAATTAATAAGGCTGATCAAAGTTAGAGGGGCTGGGACTGCTTGCAGCAGCGCAGGTCTGAGGTCTAGAAAGGTGCCAGCAGTTCTTGCCTTCCCTCCAAGATCAAGAGAAAGGGCAAAGCGGACATTTAACCCCTGACTTATTCTAATAGGGGAGGAGTGGGCCGGGGAGGACCCTGCAAACTCGACTTCCAGGCCGCACTAACTCTGGCAGGGCGGCGGTCTGGCCTGCGGACGGGAAGGGCGCTCTGCTTTCGCTCGGCGCGGGTGCAGGTCCCGAGTGTACTCCGCTCCCACCTCACCTACCGCCCGGGGCCGCGCGGAAGGGATTCCTCGGAAGGTTGGGGGGTGAAGTAGGAGGTTAGCTGAGGACAAGTAGGTGGCCCGGGAGGCGGGGCGGCCGCTCGGTGCCGGAGAGACGTGGAGGAGAGAGGCGGTGTCAGCCCTGGGAGCCGCTCCGCTGCGCAGAAGGAAGACCTAGGTTGTCACCACTGTCGCCCTTACGCCTTCCAAACGCCAGCGGCCGTGGGCAATGGTACGGGCGCCGGAGGAGCCCGCCGATCGCGGTGGGCCTGCTCCCTGCCCACCTTATCCCGGGGAGCCCTGGTGCCCGAGCCTCCTTAATGCA